GACAGGACCAAAAGAAGTGTTCTTATTCCTAAACAGGGTCTTTTTGAAAGAAAATAAATCCAGATAGGACAGAGAAATCCAGTCATTTTTTAAAACAACTTTTCAAAATAAGCCAAAATAATTTCCTCAATGTACACTGTGCTTGTCAGAAGAATCCACCCACCTCTTCCTCCCTCCCTCCATCCCTCCCAAGATGTATGCTTGCACGCAAAAGCTTATACCTGGACCAAAAGAATGTTGGCCTTGAAGCTGCAATGGGACTCCAACTTTGATTTCTCTTTATCTTTCCTCCCCTCCCTCCCCAAAAGAGGAGCAGCAGCCCGGAGAAGGAAGCAGAAGCTGTGTGTGTGTGTGTGTGTGTGTGTGTGTATGTGTGTGTGTGTGTGTAAGGGAGGGAGGGAGGGAGGGAGGGAGGGGCACTTGTCTTTGTATATCTCCTGCAGGAAACAGACACAGAGCTCTCTGTGTGGGGGTGGAGGGGGGAGGCAAGAGGCAGGAAGCAGGAAGCAAAGAGCCATGGAGAGAGCTGGGAAAAAGCATGCTAGGGTGTGGCTCCAGGAGCAGCCATGGGAAAGGAAGCTGGAGAAGGAAGTTGATGGGGAGGTTGAGCCCCATGTGGGCCTCATCAGGCCCACGGGCCGCACGTTTGACACCCCTGCTTTAGAGTATTTCGACACGGGAGAGGATTCGATCACTTGTTCCACAACCTACGATCTTTAGTAGAAGAGCTTTGGAAGGGCCTCAACAAGGTAACTTTTTGGGCCGAGCAACAAACACGTAAGGGAGTGTGGGGTGGTGATTACTTACTATACTCCTGATGTATAAACTGGTTGCATGGCTTGGTACAGCTTCAGAAACGGCCGACAAACTGGAAAACAAAGTTGAACAATATATCAGCATTGCGAAAAAGAAAGCGCTGCAAATGGGCTTTTAAGAATGCCAGGAGTGCTCGCAAAGTTAACATTTTGATCGACCAGAATTTCTGTTCTCAAAGGTAGCCAGAGGGGAATATACCCATTTGGCGTCGGCAGCTCTCACAGGTAAATGTGTCCAGTCGGTCTCTTCTGTCATTTCTCGGGTGGATGGAAGGCAGCTGCCATATTGTTCCCGGAAAGTATTACAGTTTGTTCTTTTGCACGAGGATCCGAGAGACTCCTGTTTTCCCAGACTCCGTTTGGGGCAGGGAGAGATACCTTTCCCCTCGTAGAGCTGATTTGCGCCAGGACGGGTTGCCAGCCAGGAAGTGACTGCCCTCTGGCCATTGGTTGGAGAAAGGATGCTACCAACCAACCAGAGTTCCTCCAGAAAGGAAGTGTCCCCATTCAACAGAATGACATCATTGACAATACGCCTAGCACTGATAAGGTCCTCTTCAGCAGTCACCTCCAGAAGTCCTAGCCGGGATACATACTTCCTAAAAGCCTTCCCTCTCTTCTGGAAGTTAACTGGTAGGGAAGGAGAATTCTTTCAGGACAGCGGAAGGAAGTTCAGGTACAACCTGCCAAGAAGTTCTGTGCTGTCCCACTGAGTTCCATAAGAAGAAGAAGAAGAGATTGGATTTATACCCCGCCCTTCACTTGGAGTCTCAGAGCGGCTTTCAAACTCCTTTCCCTTCCCCTCCCCACAACAGACACCCTGTGAGGTGGGTGGGGCTGAGAGAACTCTGACACAAACTGCTCTTTTTCAAGGACAGTTGTGCCAGAGCTTGTGACTGACCCAAGGTCACATCAGCAGGTGCAAGTGGAAGAGTGGGGAATCAAACCCGGTTCTCCCAGATTAGAGTCCGCGCACTTTAACCACGACACCAAACATAAGAGATGACCACACACTGGAGAAGTCTTACCAGCCATTCTAAGGTGCTGGCGGCATCCCGGAGAGCCTTCTCCGCCCATCAGTGGAAGAGAAAGGCACGGAAGCGGCTGATTGGGCAGTGCTGGGGTGTGGTGGGCGGAGCAAGAAGTGGATCCACGCTGAGGTACGGAAACCAAAGACGCGGGATGGATTTCTACCTCTGAGCTCAGGAGGGGACGAGGCTGCGATTAGCGCGGGGACTGTAGCCTATCTGAAGAGTTATCGGCACGGACCCCAAATTCCGTAAAGAACTAGGGACAAAGACAACGGCCTGCAAAACAACTCACCTCCGCCAGCATCAAAGCTTGGGATGCCATGCAAGATGACGTAGTGCAGGAAGAGAGGGGTGGTGTTCATTTTCACAGACCCAGAGAGGAGGCCGCTCAGAAAGTGCACATACCTGGAAAAAAACAGAGGGATCGTCATTGTAGGTCGACAAAAGCAAACACAACAATATCGTCCCATCTGGGAAAAGAATTCCATTTAAAATGGTAGTCCGGAGGAAACTGAGAAGCATAACTCCTAATCTCGCTTTATGGTTTTGGAAAGAGGACCCAACAATCATCAGATTCACGTGTGTCCATTCTAAGAAGTGGCAAACAATAAATATCACCTGTAATCCAGCAATTGGTAGTAAGACAGTCGTAACTGCAACCAGTGTTCCCTCTAAGCTGAGTTCATGTGAGCTAGCTCACATGAGCCAGTTTGGTGTAGTGGTTAAGTGTGCGGACTCTAATCTGGGAGAACTGTGTTTGATTCCCCACTCCTCCACATGCAGCTGCTGGTGTGACCTTGGGCCAGTCACAAGCTCTGGCACAGCTGTTCCTGAAAGAGCAGAGTGAAGGGCGGGGTATAAATCCAATCTCTTCTTCTTCTTCTACAGTTTTTTAGCCTCCGGCTCACACATTTTTGTTGTAGCTCAGGAGGGATGGCTCCAGAGCAAACTGATTGATGCCGCCGCGAAATCGCTCACTCACAACTTCAACGCCAGTAGCCCACAAAGTAGAATTTTTGCTCACAAGACTCCACAGCTTAGAGGGAGCGTTGATTGTGACAAGGATGTCCTTTGACGATATGCCTTGAAAAGAAAGCAAGCAGACGGAGGCACATCTGCCTTATGAAGCCAAGCGGGCTCACCTTTAATTAATGCTATAGGTACACGTGGACACGTGGTCCTTTTAGCTGGAGATGCTGAAGACTGAACTTCTGCATTGCAAGCAAATGCTCTAACACTGAGCCACACCCCCTTCAAAGACCTCCTTCACACACCCATTCAGAAGAGCTAGAAATCTGAGAGCGGAGATTGACAGGAAGCCAGATTTTGGCACAGTACCATATCCAGTGCTATGGTTAAGTGAGCGTGGGCACACTCCCTGAGTATGAGTCAGAGCTTTTTACATTTGACTTTCAACATTTGGGACTACACTAAACTGAATATAAGGGAGGCTGCCAGGGAACCCTCCTAAGAGTTGGCAGACATTGGTTCAGAGGGGGGGGAAATAAGTATGCAGACATTTGGGTGGGACTAACAAAAGAGGGTGGCAGACAGGTAATGTTCAGCTAAGGACAGAGACTCTTTCCATTTTCAAGAAAGATAAAAGGGACATCCCAACGGGGAACCCAAAGCCGCTTACATCGTTCTCCTCTCCTCCGTTCTATACTCACAACAACCTTGTGAGGTAGGTTAGGCTGAGAGTGTGTGACTGGCCCAAGGTCACCAGTGAGTTTCCATGGCAGAGCAGGGATTTGAACCTGGGTCTCCCAGATCCCGGTCTGACTTGCCTGTTGCTTCCAAGACTTCCCAAGGCATACTTCTCCAAGGGAGGCAGAGCTGTTTGAGCCCCTCCCTTCACAGGTGGCCACTGCAGCAGATAAAGGGACTCTGAATGACGGTGGGAGGGGCTATTCTAATCTGCTGCATTTGCATCCCAGGCCAAGTTACTCAGACTGGCCCTTTTCACTCCAGAATTCTTTCCTGTCTGTTGGTTAAGTCGAAAGGACAGCAATTCAACAAGTGCTGCCTTGCTGGCGGATTCTTCCCTGATTCTGCTTGCACAAGGTTCATTTAAATCATCTTCCCTTGGAGAAATCCAGCCAGGTTGAGCAAAATGCAATTTCCGGTATGGCAATGAATCACTAGCTCCAAGCGGATGGTCAAACTGGACGTGGTAGGATATAGCGATTGTGCTGGCCTGTCCAGGAAAATCACCTGCCCCTCTCTAGCCCTGTGCCCACCCAGCCGACTCAACATTAAAAAGGGGCCAACACAAAGAGTTCAGCGCTTGTCAGCCTGAGCCATGGAATCCATAACACTCAAGGGGGCTCATCTACAGTAGATGTGTGATACAAGCAGGGCTATTTTTGGGCAGGAACACGCAGGAACGCGGTGCCGGCTGGCTCCAAAGTTGGCCACGCCCAGCAGGAACTCATTAGCATAACAGGCCACACCCAACAGCAGAAACTCATTGGGATTGGCTACATTAGGGGTGTGTGGCCTAACATGCAAAGGAGTTCCTGCTCCAAAAAAAGCCCTGGGTTTTGTCAACAAACAAGGTAACCAGAATAAGAAGAGAAAGGTGGGTGTGGCTGGATAACCACACTTCTGGTAACATGGGGGTACGGCCTAATGTGCTAATGAGCTGCGCTGTCAGGGGTGTGGCCCAATATGCTAATGAGCTCTTGCTGTTGGGTGTGGCCTATTATGCTAATGAGTTCCTGCTGGGCTTTTTCTACAAAAAGAGCCCTGGATACAAGTAGACTCTCAATCACACAAGAAGAGATTGGATTTATACCCTGCCCTTCACGACCCGAAGGAGTCTCAGAGTGACTTAAGGTAAGAGCTGTCCTTGAAAAAGAGCAGTTTCTGTCGGAGCTCTCTCAGCCCCACCCACCTTACAGGGTGTCTGTTGTGGGGAGGGGAAGGGAAAGGAGTTTGTAAGCCGCTCTGAGACTCCCTTGGGTAGTGAAGGGCGGGGTAGGAATCCAATCTCTTCTTCTTCTTACAATCTCCTCTCCCTTTCCCTCCCCACAACTGACACCCTCGGAGGTAGGTGGGGCTGAGAGAGCTCGTTCGAGAACTGCCCTTGCGAGAACAGCTCTGAATGAACTTGTGACTGACAGAAGGTCACACCAGCAGCTGCATGTGGAGGAGGAGTGGGGAATATCAAACCCCGGTTCTCCCAGATTAGAGTTTGCACTCCTAATCACTACACCACCGGGGACTCAGAGAGTACTTCATTGTTCAGTGCACAGAAGCATTGTGCAAGTGCTGTCTTCCCTCCTGCGCTGTTTTCCCAAGAGGAAACGGTGTGTGTGTGGGGGGGAGATAGCTTATCTCAGGCGCCATGTGTCCTCCGTCACATGATCCCAGGTCACATGGAGCACAAGACAGTGGCAAAAAGGGTCCCTTTGTGGGCATTCCGGCTCACAAAAATGGTGCAGGAGGGAAGGCTGAAATGCCGTCTCCTCGCATGCAGACTTCTGGAGCTGCGTCATGTGACAGCGTGGTTACTAAGGTGAAGAAGAAGAAGAGAAAAGATTGGATTTATACCCCTCCGTTCACTACCCAAAGGTGCCTCAGAGCGGCTTACAAACCCCTTTCCCTTCCCCTCCTCACAACGGACACCTTGTGAGGCAGGTGGGGCTGAGAGAGCTTTGACAGAAACTGCTCTTTTTCAAGGACAGCTCTTATCAGAACTACGGCTTGCCCAAGGTCATCCAGCCAGGTGCAAGTGGAAGAGGGGGGAATCAAACCCGGTTCTCCCAGATTAGAGTCCGTGCACTTCACCACTACACCAAACTGTCTCTACAGCAAACTGGCTGAGCCCCACCTCCACTAAAAGTGACTAAGAATCATGCCAGAGCAACCCCCCCACCCCACCCACATCACCCACCTCGTGTAAACAAGCCTCTCAATTTTGTGATGGGGTCAGGGCCTGAACTATACACACCTAGTCCAACGATTGTGTGATTCTGACTCCCTCTTCTGCGTATGTTTTCAGCATCTGCACGAAACTAATTCGGCTGTAGACGTGTCAAAAGGGCCACAGGTGGAAGACCACATTTGCCTCAAATGGAATAAGGAGCTCTGAGTGGGAGAGCCACACATTGAACATGCAGATTCTGCCGCATCCGGGCCACCCGGCTGCCATAAAGGTGTTGCGGCACAGGCTGCCCATACTATCCGGAGGGTTTTTGGTTCTCGCAGCTGCTTGTTTGGGAAAGGCTGCGGGGAGATCAGGTCTGTTTATCCTGCACCCCGGCCATCTCGACAGGGCCCTTGCAAACATCTTCATTCCTTTTGCTCCCACGGTGCCCCGAGGAGCAATGTTTACAAGTGTACATTCAGCCCCTTTTTAATAAAGCGGCGCTTTTGTGCAGACGGGACAGCTGAATGGGAAACGGAGCTCTCCAAGCTAAATATTTATTAAAATGTAAAAGCCTCGGGGAAACGTGTTGTTATTTTTTCCACTGTGTAGGCAGCTGCGTGGGCCTCCAGCGAAACGGAGCGGCTCACTGGGAAAGTTTTGATCCGGAGAGGGAGAAACAGAGCTGCTTGCCCAACTGGGTTTCCACACAACGGTTGTTGTCTCAGTGGCCAGCAAGGCCCCTCTCTTTAAACAAGGGTGAAAATTGCTGCGTGCCGGACGATAAAGGGGCTGGGTCGCTAGGGTGACCAAATCAAGCCACCGGTCCAACTTCTTCCTTTCTTTTCCCTTCGGACACTTTAACGATAAGAGCAAGTCCGTCGGTCCACCCTACTTCTCTTCCCATTTGGGAATTTCAAAGCCCTCAAGGTAACCCCGAACGGAGCCGCTTCTTCAAATCAAGCCACACCAAGTACTAAAGCTCTAGGTCACGGCAACCTCTTAAGGAGGCATTGGCTGGGGTCCTTGGAGATGCTGGCCAGCCTCCTGGTTTCGATACTGGAGGTGAATTAAGGCAGCTTTCCATTTCGCACAGAAAATCCTCTGCAGCTGCAAAAACACACAAATGTCTTCTCCGCCTTTGCCAAATACGCTGCCTTATAGGCCGGCAAACTGCTTTTGAGCTAAGTTCCTGCGGCAGCTAAAGCTGTCATTCGGAATCTGCAATCCTAAACACAGTTATACCCTTGTAACAATGCTCCCTCTAAGCTGTGGAGTCTTGAGAGAGCCAGTTTAGTGTAGTAGTTAGGAGCGTGGACTCTAATCTGGGAGAACCGGGTTTGATTCCCCACTCCTCCACTTGCACCTGCTGGTGTGACCTTGGGTCAGTCACAAGCTCTGGCACAGCTGTCCTTGAAAAAGAGCAGTTTGTGTCAGAGTTCTCTCACCCCACCCACCTCACAGGGTGTCTGTTGTGGGGAGGGGAAGGGAAAGGAGATTGTAAGCTGCTCTGAGACTCCCTTGGGTAGTGAAGGGCAGGGTATAAATCCAATCTCTTCTTCTTCTTCTTGTGAGCAAAAATTCTACTTTGTAAGCCGCCGGCATTAAAGCTCAGCGAGGGATTTGGCTACTGCAGAAACTAGCTTGGCGCTGGAGCCCTCCTTCCTGAGCTGAGACAAAAATGTGTGAGCCGGAGGCTAAAAAACGGTGAGCTGGCTCACAATAACTCGGCTTAGAGGGAACACTGCCTTGTAAATCCCACTGACTTCACTGACTGATCGCTATAGAAGGCTGTACCTCTGTTAGCCAGGTCTCATCCGATCTCAGAAGTTAAGCAGGATCGGACTTGGTTAGGGCTTGGATGGGAGACCACCAAAGGAAGTCTAGGATTGCTATGCAGGGGCAGGCCATGGCAAACCACCTCTGAGTATCTCTTGCCTTGAAAACCCTACACAGGCAGTGTTCCCTCTAAGCTGAGTAAGTGTGAGCTAGCTCACAGTTCTTTAGCCTCCGGCTCACACATTTTTGTCTGCGCTCAGGAAGGGAGGGCTCCAGAGCAAACTAATTGATGCAGTAGCCAAATTGCTCGCTCACAACTTTAATGCCAGGAGCTCACAAAGCAGAATTTTTGCTCACAAGACTCCACAGCATAGAGGGAGGAACTTTCCACCATCAATGACTCTGCTTAGGATTTACACTGTAAGATCACAAGATGGATGTATGATTTCTTCAAATGTCACCATTTGGAACCGAACAACATGTCCTGATGTGTACTATAGCACCTAGTTGCTGTTACTGTGGAAATACTCACAGGGGCATATCAGTGATAACACACATTTAACTTTTTGTTTACCGTGATAACAGAATCTCAGGGGGGGGGGAAGGCATGACTGTTAGATGAGTCTGACAAAACACACATCTGACAAAGACGGTTAGTTTTAGCAGCACGAAGCTAGTATGATCCTGTTACTTAACATCCCCACAATCTCATGTGGCGCACAACTAAATCACGAGTTTATAAAACCCCAGATTCATACTACAGATTCATCTATGCCATGTGAACCCCGTAAAGAAAAAGATACAAGCAGTCAGGAACGGAAGGATGGGTAAAGAGAGATACATCGATGGTTTATTACGATCCGAGATCAGAAATCAGACTCATCTTTACAAGATAAGGAAATTGTTTCATCTAATATACATTAGAAGGAGTTATTGAATTTTTTGACTTAGGAAAGTATGTAGTAATTGATACATTTTGGATCTTTTCTCTGTATGTTGTACTTGACTATGGATAGAAGTAGTAGTTTATATTTATGATTATTTATGGTTCCGTTTTGTAGGATACGGCTGTACAGTTATGCTGGAAATTTTAATAATAATAATAAAAAGAAAGCAGACTCATCAAATGACACAGACATTAAAGAGAAATTAACAGAGGAAGAAACTCAGGAACATGTCATCGTGATAGAGAGAAACAGTCAATTAAAGGAAAATTAAAATACCTTTTCTGAGACGGCTGCATTAAGGCAGAAACTTTATCATCAAAGAATTTCTTCATTGCAAACCTGTCCAGGGCTTGATCAGCACTGATAAGGGAGAGAAACGGGGAAAAATGCTTATGGGAGTAAACACAGGAATACGATCATCACACCGTGACACAAACCAAGAAACTGAAGACGACTGGGTGTTAACTGGCCAATGAACTGTCAGTTCAGTCCTAAACAGAGTCACATCCTATAGCCAGCTTGGTGTAGTGGTTAAGTGCGCGGACTCTAATCTGGGAGAACCGGGTTTGATTCCCCACTCCTCGACTTGCACCTGGCTGGATGACCTTGGGAAAGCCGTAGTTCTGACAAGAGCTGTCCTTGAAAAAGAGCCGTTTCTGTCAAGAGCTCTCTCAGCCCCACCTACCTCACAGGGTGTCTGTGGTGGGGAGGGGAAGGGAAGGGAGTTTGTAAGCTGCTCTGAGACACCTTTGGGTAGTGAAGGGCGGGGTATAGATCCAATCTCTTCTTCTTCTTCTTATCTAAACCCATTGACTTCAGTGGGCTTCGAAGTGTGTAACTCTGTTTGGGATTGTACTGGGCACTACTAGGGCTGCCAAGTGGGGGCGGGAAAACCCCTGCTTTCCACTGCCGCGGAATCGGGCCCCGGGGGGAACTCTGCCCCCCGAAGCGCAGCGTGGCTGCGTCACCAGAGGTGACGCAACCACGTCGATCACGTTGGGGGCGTGGCCTCAATCGTCGGAGGGAAAACTCTATGGTTTTCCCTCCGACGATCGGGGCCACGCCCTCAACGTGACTGCAGTCACACGTCACTTCCAGTGACGTGCTGGCAGCGCGTGCGCGCTTTGCGCGCGCGCACGACAAGGGACAGCTCCCGGAGCACAGCGAGGCTCCCCCACCGGTGAGTAAAATTCACTTGGCAACCCTAGGCACTACAGATCTGAAAGGGACATCCATTTTATCAGTTGACAGCACCTAAATGTGCAACCCGAAAATGGCTTAAAATCGATAGTGCTGTTCCAAATAAAACTGGTCACGTGCCCCTCCCCTTCAACAGGCCTCTAACAAGAGAACAGTTTTCCCTCTGAGCTGAAAACATTCTAGCCTGTTGACATCTGCCTGGAATTCAATAATCATTACAGCAAAGAGCTCTGTGTCTAACTGGACAGGATAAGATCCAGGTGGTCAGCCATGTTGGTCTGAAGCCGTAGAACAAAAAAAATCTGTTTTCTTGGTTGCTGCAAAAAACTCCCAAAACCTTTTGTTTACTCATTTCAAGATCATTTATGGAAACTAAACACCACCTACTCCTATCTCCTCAGTCTTTAGCTTCCCATGTTAACACTTTCCAAAGAACCCTTTGGAACCTGCGGCACTGCAAAGATTCTGGGATATATCTAGTCATACAGGGCTCCAACCAAGCCTGTTGGGAAGGATTGGTGGAGTTGAGCAAGCCTTCTTTCAGAGGAATTTTCCCATCTTTATCAGGCTTCCAAAATTATATCCTAGGCATCCAAGCTGCAATTGCTGATTCCCTTGGATCCCTGAGAGATGGAGGGGTGCATGTGTGAGTGGTCCAGCTCTTGTGTAAAGAAGTCAATCAGACAACATCTTTGCCGAGAAGGCACTGTTTGTGAGCTGTTCACCTGATAAAGGGGGGCACACTTGTGGGTTTCCACAATGGAACAGGTCACAGTCTCCCCAGAACTGTTTCAGGCCAGAAGAAATAATGCAAGCAAGAAAGCTGAATGTCCTTCTCCATGCATGCCACAATCATAGTCTGAACAGGGCCTCACATATGGGTGGACTGAACCTGTGTAGTCCATATTGTGTAAAGAGATATTTTGTCTGATGACCTCATTGTATCTGAAGAAGTGAGCAGTGACGAAAGCTCATCCTCTGCCACCAATTTTGTTAGTCTTTAAGGTGCTACTGGACTCTTACTCTTTTCTACTGCTACGGACAGACTAATATGGCTACCCATCTTGGTCATTGTCTCTGAGGATGGGAGGAGGTGTTCCATCAAGTGCGTTCCATCGAGTACTCTTATTCCAACATGTCATGATCTGGGCTGTGCTACCAGAGGCCTACTAGGCCCAGAGAACCTGGCTAGCAGTAAGTAAGGCTAGGCCTACAACTCCCAGAAGCCCCTAAGAGGTTTTGGAGCCAAAATTGACCAACAGGAAAAGAGGAGGGCTTGGAATAAAAGATCTGGTGCAGCAGGGAAAGCTTGTTCTTTTTCCCAAAGGGCAAAGCCAGAAAGAAGGCTGCTTCAAGGAAGAAACCCTCATCCTGAGGGAAGGGTGAGTAATCTAAGGCCATTTGAGATAGTGAGCGAGGGACAGTATATTTAGACACATTAGGGCATTTTATTTCTTTTCACCCACTTACTGTTTATTCCTGCACCTTGTTTGTTTGACCTCCTATAAAATAATCCATTTTCATTGTTCACTCTGCCTGGTCCTCACACTCATTTTGTCTAAAAGGGAGATCTAAAGGCTTGGGAGGATGATCTGAGCTTTCTCAGAAGAGCCTGGAACCAGAGTGGTGGAAGTGTCAGGTGACACCCCACTTGAGCCGTCACGGTGACAGACACAGAAAACATATACTGGCATTACACCAGATATAAAATCAATCGGGGCCATACATTTGGCCATATATAAAATCAATTAGGGCCACACGTTTGGTAACTTAGGGCTAAAACAAGATATGCTGCAACCAGAAGAGCAACCACAAAGTGCTCCTCCTCCATGCCACCTATAAGAACTGACCTCGTGTTGTGACATCTCAACATTCCCAGTGTTTTAATATGTTATCGAAGGTTTTCATGGCCGGAGTTCATTAGTTATGGTAGATTTTCCAGACTGTATAGCTGTGGTCTTGGCATTGTAGGACTCTCTGTGTCAAGATGAGAAGAAAAATGGTAGGCAGGTAATTTATATCTACTCAGCCCTACCCCACCTTCCTGAGTAGATATAAATTACCTGAGTACCATTTTTTTCCCTCACCTTGACACAGAGAGTACTCCATCTTCCTGTGTTATACCTCTGAGGATGCCAGTCACAGCCGCTGGCGAAACGTCAGGTCCTACAATGCCAAGACTATGGCCATACAGCCCGAAAAATCTACCACAACTAATTCCTACCGTTTTTTTCCCCAGCCTGCCATTTGGAGCTGAGGTGAGAAAAGGCAAGGAAGTACTTCTTCACCCAAAGAGTAATTAACAAGCTTCAAGAGGGGATTGGAGAAACATATGGAGCAGAGGTCCATTAGTGGCTGTTAGTCACAAGGTATAGATGAAACACTCTGTCTGGGGCAGCAATGCTTTGTATTCTTGGTGCTTAGGGGGCAACAGTGGGAGGGCTTCTGGAGTTCTGGCCCCGCTGGTGGATCTCCTGATGATGCAGAGTGTTGGACAGTATGGGCCATGGGCCTGATCCAACCTGGCTTCTCGTTAGGGCTGCCAAGTGGGTGCGGGGGGCAGGTAAACCCCCGCTTTGGAGGCCCAATTTCCGCCGCCGCGGATTCGGGCCCCAGGGAGAACTCCGCCCCCGGAAGCTCAGCGTGGCTGCTTCACCAGAGGTGACGCAACCACATCAATCACGTTGGGGGCGTGGCCCTGATCGTCAGAGGGAAAACTCTATGGTTTTCCCTCCGACGATCCGGGCCACGCCCCCAACGTGATCGACGTCGCATGTCACTTCCGGGACGTGCTGGTAGTGCACACACTCACATCTGAGGAGAGCTCCCAGAGCCCAGCGACGCTCCCCCGCCGGTAAGGAGATTCGACTTGGCAACCCTACTTCTCGTATGTTCTTATGGAAGAGGGAAGGTGGTAACTAGACAGTTAGCCTAACATCTGGTTTAGCCCTGAGACAGATGCACTCCACAGATTTATGAGCCAGGCGATTATATATTTCCCCCCATCCTTCTTGAACAACTTCCCTGTACTCTGCACAGGCTGCAATGTTGCTTAGTGGAAATGGGCCTGGGTGGGAAATCACAGAGCATTCAGGTTCTCAGTCTTGAAAGATAGGCAGACGTTTCTGTGTGGCTTCCCTTACCTTGCCGATACATTTGTGAAATGCATATATGATGATATCACGACTCCGATTCTTCCTTTTCCACCCTGTGAAAAAAATAATAATTAAGGAAGCGATGGCATCATACTCTGTTATTTAATCCTTACTCCAGAAGACAGGTTAAAACTTCCAAGACTCAGCAGCGCTCTCCCAATCTATATATCTAATAGCCAAGTTGCCCCCTTCATGCAGATATCTAAACCCACACATCGGGGGCACTTGGGGGGCAGGGAGATTTTCCTGCACACTTGGAGCAGTCCCCAGGTGTGCAGAAAAAAATCTAAAAAGTTGAAAAAAATATACAGGGGATACTTAAATCCCCCCAAAAGTTAAAGAGCGTTCCCTGCACATGCGCAGAGAACGCTCTGGCCGTTGGGGGGGAGACTCGGCGTTAGGGAGGAGATCGTCGGGCCCGGCAGCTGGGAGCCGCTCAGGTCACGCTGCCAGAGCCGGAGGAGAGGAGAAAGTTGAAAAAAAATATACAGGGGATACTTAAATCCCCCCAAAAGTTAAAGAGCGTTCCCTGCACATGCGCAGAGAACGCTCTGGCCGTTGGGGGGGAGACTCGGCGTTAGGGAGGAGATCGTCGGGCCCGGCAGCTAGGAGCCGCTCAGGTCACGCTGCCAGAGCCGGAGGAGAGGAGATCGGTGGGCCCGGTGGCTGGGAGCCGCTCAGGTCGTGCCGCCGGAGCCGGGGGGAAAGCGTCCCCCCCCCCCCGCGAGTATCGCGGGCCCCCCTTCTTGTTCTTTATAATTGCCAACATATCTTCATTACATATGGGAGCTCAAAACAAAGCTATACATCAGAGTGGGGGGGAAATAATTTTTTTAAAAAAACCTCTCATCCTGGCCTGAGTAGCATCCTGCATGAGTTTTTTTCCCTTTCTTTGGCTGTTTTAAGACATGCCTGGGCAGCTTTGTAATTTCTGGCATGATGTGTTATTTTTATATATATATATATATATATATTCTGGAAAGTACGTCTACTCGCAGCAGGTATTATTAGTCTTTTTTCTTCTGACGCAGTGATTTATGGCAGCGACATCATTTAACGAGCGTCTTCACAATGTTTCAAAACCTTATTAAACGCACGACACGCAGTCAGTACAAATTACCAAAAAAATAATTCCTACTAGCCACAGCTTGCCTCCAAATTATGGAGTAAACAAATTAAGCAAGAGTGCAGCAGGAGACTTATAGGACCAATAAATCAAACTACGGCAGGTTGATCTACTCATTTAAGAAAAGGGGAGAAAAAAAATATTTTGTTTAAAAGTCAATGGTTGGCTGTTTGCTGTTTCAAAAAAAGCTCATGTTGTGTTTTTCTTTATTATAGCTTTTTGAAAAAAAGAAAAAAAGAAAATCTAGGGAAGGGGCCATAATATTGAGAAAGAGCTAATAATCGGGAATGTAGCTTAATCTGGTCTCCTCGGTTAAAGGACTTCAATTAACATGGAAGAGATATAGGATTGTCAAGTTGCTCCATCTCGCCGGCAGGGGGGCTTTGGGGGGGCGTTCTGGGAGTGGGCGGGGCAGAGTGATGTCAGCATATCAGTGACATCAGGGGCGACGTTCTGCTTTTGGGGCAAAGGTAAAGGTAAAGGTTTCCCTTGCTCAAAAGCTAGTCGAATCCGACTCTAGGGGGCGGTGCTCATCTCCATTTCCAAGTCAAAGAGCCAGCACTGTCTGAAGACTACTCCATGGTCATGTGACCGGCATGACTAAACGCCGAGGCGCACGGAACGCTGTTACCTTCCCACCGAAGTGGAACCTATTTACCTACTTGCAATTTCTTGCTTTCAAACTGCTAGGTTGACAGGACCTGGGGCCAGAGACGGGAGCTCACTTCATCATGTGGCACTCAGGTCTCAAACTGCCGAGCTACCGACCTTCTGGTCTGCAACTCAGCATCTTAACCTCTGAGCCACCGCAGCAAAACTCTATGGTAAAAACCACCTCAAATCACAGAGTTTTGTTCAAAAAGCAGAGTGTCACCCCCAGACATCACCGATGTGCTAACGTGACGTCTGGGTGACGTCAGCACGTCGTGCAGGATGACATTGTTTGGGGCGTGGGGAGGAATTTCTTCCCACCAGCCAGCTGGTTTGTGGAAGCGGGGGATTCCCCCGCCTGGACCTGGAGAATGGAAAGCCTACAGAGATATCATGTGCCATCAGGTTGCTTCTAACTTATGGTGACTCTACGAATGAATGTCCTCCAGAATGTCCTATGCTTAACAGCAGGGGTCATTTCGTAGAAAAAGAGGTGCAGGATCTCATTAGCATAACTCATTAGCATAACTTGTTTGCATATGCCACACACCCTGACATCACCGGAAGTGTGTCAGAAGGCAACACCCACCGCTCAGACTCCACTGGACTGTTTTGGATTGCTAGCTATGGGGGGGGGGACGTGCAGATCTGCCCTCACAGAGGAGGGAGATCTTGTACCTGAAGATGGGCCAGGGTAAGGCTCTGCAACTTACCTGACTGCTTCTTGCTCCTCGTGGCCTGACTGAGGGCTGCTGGGAGCCTACTCCTTGGGAGGAAAGCTATGGAAAACCTAGATGGCATAATAAAAAGTAAAGGCAGGAAATTGCCCATTGTTCCAGTCTTGCAAACTGAGGGCCACGGCTTCCTTGATTTGAGTCCACCCATCTCCTGTTGGGCCTTCCTCCTTGCCTACTGCTTTCAACTTTCCCTAGCATTAATGTCTTTTCCAGAGAGTCTTGTCAGGCATACAGGGAGGTACATTTAGACATGAACTAATCCAGTTGACAGGGGTTCTACCAGAGCCTCTCTGAGGTTCAGAAAGGGCCAGGACCCTTCAAGCTTCTGAGAACCTCCAGCCATAATTAAAAAAATAATAATATGAGAACAAAATAGCACTGAAGAAGAGTGCCAAAATGTATATCATAAAGCTCTGGAGTTGAGGGTGTGTCACGTTTTGATCCGATAAGGAAAATGTACAAATATCTGAGTCCCCCTTTTAGCTGGAGGTCCAGGGCCACGTGGCCCCCCTGCCCCCCTCAGCCCTTGGGTGGTACCTACGCAGCCACCAGACTGTGTCTTCAATCTTGCGTGGGAGATATAATAATACAGCATATACGGCTAGACTTTGCCACTGTAACTCTGGATGCATTGAGACAGTTTCACATATCTGTTTGCACTGTCAATTTTATGTAGATATACGTTTTAGATATTTAGAGAGCCAGTTCGGTGTAGTGGTTAAGTGTACAGACTCTAATCTGGGAGAACCGGGTTTGATTCCCCACTCCTCCACTTGCACCTGGCTGGATAACCTTGGGCAAGCCATAGCTCTGATAAGAGCCGTCCTTGAAAAAGAGCAGTTTCTTTCAAGAGCTCTCTCAGGCCCACCTACCTCACAGGGTGTCTGTTGTGGGGAGGGGAAGGGAAAGGAGTTTGTAAGCCGCTCTGAGACTCCTTTGGGTAGTGAAGGGCGGGATATAAATCCAATCTCCTCCTCTCCTCCTCCTCCTAGATATTTAAACCCTATTTTAGCCAACATGACAGACCTTCCTGGTGCTTTAAAAGTGCACCCTCTTCTGAATGACTCCGCACCTGAAATATCAGTGAAGGCTGATTTTTACAATCAGCTACAAAGCTACGACAGGGAAAACGATCAAAATGAGCAACACCTTGTAGTGTGCAAAATGCTTGGTTTTATATGTATGGTTTTATATGTATATTTTTTAATAGTAACCCATTTTTAAGGTATTGTTTTATGCCAATGGAGCTGCGGTGGCTCAAGTGGTTAAGACGCTGAACTGCAGGCTGTGGAAGGTCGGTGGTTCAGAGGTTCGAGACCCGAGATCCCGAGTGCCTGATGACTGAGTGAGCTCCCATCTCTAGTTCCAGTTCCTGCCAACCTAGCAGTTCGAAAGCAAGAAATTGCAAGTAGATAAATAGGTACCACTTCGGTGGGAAGGTAACAGCGTTCTGTGCGCCTTGGTGTTTAGTCATGCCGGCCACATGACCACGGAAACATCTTCGGACAGCGCTGGCTCTTCGGCTTTGAAATGGAGATGAGCACCGCAACCCTAGAGTCGGATTCGACTAGCTTTCGAGCAAGGGGACCTTTACCTTTTACCTTTATGCCAACAAAGGCTAACTGACTGACTGACACCAGACTGTGTCACATCAGGTTGTCTTCATTTGGGATGAACGTGGGTGAGCAGAGGGGGGATTCAGTGGGAGAATTCC